TACGCAGAGAAAGAGAGACCAAGAGAGAAAATGAGAGAGAGAGAGTTTTGATTAAAAAGGCATCACTTCCTGAAATTGACAATTACTGGTATAAAGTGAAAGCCATGTGTGTGTTCTAACCCAGAGGACAAAAGGACATCATCACCCGTGTGATTATGATCCAATCAAGCTGGAATTTGAACTGCAAAACATCTTTGACTGTGTGGTGTAGTGGACGGTAATCATCACGTTTCTAAGAGTGGGATTACACAATATGTCCAAAGGTATGTGGACACCCTACACATGCTATTGTGTTCTTTTGTTTTACTTTAAGCCAAACTGAACTTTGTATTATTAACTCTTTTTGTATGAGGGAATATAAACTAAAATTATATTGCCCCTTTCTCCAACATTTGGGGGGACTCAAGATTGTATTTCACTCAGTAATGAGGAAGTCTATTTAGCACTGATTACTTTCAGACTTTACTTTTGGTTTATGATATTACAACACTTGCTGAATCATTGGTCGGTCTCACACACTTAGTGCTGTGTTTGTCCTGCACTATACAAAATAGGTGGGTCTAGCTAGCAATAGCTGTCTCTCTTTCATGGGTCCATTTGTGGTGTTGGCAAAATGCAATGGCTAACAACTTATCACATGTAGTGATATTAGGAGGTTTTTGCCACCCATACAGATATTGGACCAATCAAATTGCACTACAAACATCATCAGTCAGTCCCAAAAATTCTGACCTCTAACCTCAGCACCATCCAAGATCTTTGGGACTAACACAGACCTGATCTTAACCCCTGAGCTATGTAGCAGCAAATGAGTGGCCATGTTCCTAATGATCAACAATGTGCTGTGTGTGTGTCCACATACTTGTAAATTTACTGTATGAATGTATATATGTATAGTGATTGTAAAGTTTACTCAAATTGTGAAGCATTATTGTTCAGGTATTTTATACACGTTAGATGAGCAGAAGAGTGAGTATTTATTGTCTTTGATTGCTCCCTTTTTCTCTTTTACCACAGTCAGGTTAGTTAGTGAAATTTGCAAATGATTTAGCTCAAGCAAAAATAAGACAATTAAGCTGCAGCCCACACACTGCTCTCCATCTTTGTTCAACAGAGCACCTGGTTGACAAAATCACTAAAAATACTTCACTCTTAAGAAGGTGTTAGGTATCAAATGAGCTTTAAAACATTACGCCCCTTCACCAGAGATTCACACCAGGCATGACTTACTTTAATGGAAACTCACCCTGATTCATTTTCCTATTTAACAGCAGTACATGGGGAAATGCGTCATGAAGAATTGAAAGCGAAACAGATTTTGATGTACCTTGATGCTCCTTACTGGGAGTTGTTATAGGTTCGAGGCTTGGCTTAAAGCCAGCTCGATACCTCTGCTAATTGTTGATTTGCAATTAGTTGTCTATTTGTGTATTCCAGGCTGCGCTAGTGCTGTGACAGTCAAAAATCTGCACTTGTAATTCCAAGGATGTGCTGACTTGCAGTTAAGATGTTTGAAAACATGTTGTAACACTGGAAAACAAGGTATCAACAATTTGTTGTTGATGCAGGATTGGAGACTTTCCCTCACTGGTCACTCAAGCTTATGCATTATCTAAATACTACTGAAACCTTAAACTGCAAACGTTTTTTTCCTCTTTTTCTGCCTTACTATCTAAAGCAGACTAACGCTATGAGTGAATAGAGATAATTCCATGTTTTACGAGGCAAATGATAAATAAATAAAACGACTGGAGGCTTGTGGGAGATATGCTGCCCCCAGTGTCAAAGCCATATGGCAGTCAGCAGCTTTTCTATCTAATATCATCACTTCCATCTCTCAATCTGTAAACTTTAAACACCCACAGTTAATCTGCAAGCAGAGATCTGCACACATTTTCCTCAGATGGGATCAAATTTATACACACTCAGCTAGGAACATTTTTTTTCAAACACACATGTACACCCTATATTTCACATTGAATAACATTAGAGGATATAATTGGAAAGAATGAAAGAGGCAACGAGGATGAAGGAGGAAGTCAGATATAAAGCGATGATGATGAAAATACAAAAAGAAAAAAAATTAAAGACTGCAGGGGTAAACAGAAGGCAACGAGGAAGCAAAAGCGATTGGAAATGCAAACTAACGCTGGGGGCACTATCACAAGTACGTGTCAAGCAGACTTGTACTGAAGACAATTTTAATGTAAAAAAGAAAAATTAATGGGACCAGTGGGAACACCCCATTGGTGAGTTTAACACTGTAAACTTACATTAGCAGCTGAGAAATCTAATTGTCATTTGTGATGCAGTTGAGGGTTGCACAAAGCAAATTGCCACAATGGTGTACTCTTATTTATGAAACCCTTTCTAGTCACATGTAGAGCGTATTTTACCAAGACATGAAAACCATAACATATACAGCGAAGAGCTAAATTTCACCATTGTGACATTTTTATATAAAAATCTTAGAAGCTTAGAGCATCTAATTAAACATGAAGCAAAATGTTATATTCAAGCCAAGACACAAGTCAGTCAAGTGCTGTGAAGTGAACTTCCCTCAGAAACACTAACAAGGACACAAAGTCACACAGACGTAGAGATGCACATACAGCGCATATTTTACATATTCACATAGATAGGTAAACAGCAGCTTTATACCTAATTAACAGACACAGCAGGCGGAGCAGAGCAGCTCCTAAAGCTGTGGAGGAATGGAAGAGTAAACGCTCTGGAGAAAGGAGGCAGAGAAGCATGAAGCAAAGGGCAACACAGATGAACAGATAACGCAGAGGAGTAGAGAAGAGGAGGAAAGAACAGAGATATAAAATCACTTCAATACCCAGAGGGACTGAATGCACACTGTATGTCCCAGCTTATAACAATAACAGTTGACCAATCAAACCTATGAGCAGACTATGAGAAAAAAAAATCTGTGTGAAACAGACGACAGTTAAAAGAAGAGGATGGGGGAAAGTGAGAAATATGAGACAAGGGAGAGAGTTGCACACATGAAATGTTGTAAAGAGCTCTTCAGCATAAGCATCAATAACAAATGTGAATGGATTTTTTTATATTTAATATTTAACTCTCCTCTATCCTAACAGTGAGTCTATCAATACAAACACATCACAGGGCCAAACTGTTTACATCAAAAGATCTTGTCTAGCTGAATGGAAATAGGTATAAAAAGATGCTCCATTTGATGTAACAGTGCAAGTTTAAATTAATTAATTACATTTTGACTAGTATGATGCATCTGCAAAGACTTGGCATGTAAATAATAAAGGCTAGCTAGTTGATGATTTCAGTTTGTACATTGGTTGATTATTAAAATAAAATGACAAAATGGCACGGTGTATATATGTGTATAATAATTGTTAAAAAAATAATTGTTAAAAGAAGAAATTACATTTGTATATTTTTATTGTTATCAATTTGTTCTTCTCTTGGCCTAGTTATCTTAATTACCTGGTACACTCTTTACCAAGTTCACCATCTTAGTTTTGCATGTTAGTATGCTACAATTTGCAAATTAGCACTAAAAGAAAGTACAGTTGAAGCTGGTCACAAACCAAAAACTGAAACTGGACAAACTGAAATATTGATCTGGGGAAAATAAAGCTTGGTTCATGCTCTGGGGCCATGGATTTCTGTACACAATTCCATGGCAATCTATGCAGTAGTTTTTGAGATAGTTCAGTCTGTACCTAAGTGGTGGACCGACATTGTCAACAACTACAGACATTGTCTTCCATAGAGCCCTGGCTATAATATAATGAATAATCATTCTTTAAACATTAACTGAGGTCTAATGTAGGCTCATAAAAGAAAGTTTAATATATATTTATAAAATCATGTGTTTTGATTTGTTGTTGGTACAACAGGACAGAAGACGGGCTGCCATGACAACAGCTGTTGTCTGTTAGTTGTTGTGTTTTTCCTTTTTTGGATGAAAAGGTCAGCCTTGTCAAATACAACAGACACACTGCTTTCACACTATGTTTCAGATAAAATGTAACATATAGAGAGAGACACAATAACAGAAACACATGATGGTACCTGTGCGTACGCAGTTACACAAGTGTACAGAGCTATACCGACACATGTGTACCACACAGGATAATACTGCTCTGATACTGCTTCAGAACACGTTGTTCTTTACAGAGCAGCAGTGTCCTGGTCATCCTGACATCTGTCCATCACATCTGTCTAAGTCACCGACACAAACACATACACACACACAGGCTGTACACATGTCAGCACATGATGTTCATATTGTATCACTTGTCTGTCTTTCTGTTCGGAAATTACTCCCTGGATCAACATGTCTCCACCCCGATCTTTTTTTCCTTTACCCCCTTTTTTTTTTTTAACTCTCCAGCCCCACAATACATCAAACATTGGAATGATCCAAGGCGGGAAAAAAAAAATCTAATAAATAATGACTGAGACGAGGGGAATCTGAAAATAAAAAGTAATATCCACTTCACAGGCATGCTGCAGATGATTCCTGCTTCATCCTCCACCTCCTCTCTCTCTCCCTCTCTCTTGGTTTTCCCTTATTGTGGGAATGTATTACAGGTGTGGTGCGTGTTCACTTGTAAGCAGGAGAAACATTGATTTTCTGTCGCCTTTAGAGGATAACCAATGGATATAACACTGTGCGGTGTGTGATAGGATCCTGCGTGTGTCTGTCTGTGTGTGTGCGCTGTATAATCAACAAGGTGCAAGGAATACATACATAAAAATGTATGTATGTCTGTGACACTGATACTACAGCACAATAAAAAAAAGAAAGAAACATAGCACACTTTGCCCCAAAAAGTGTTTGTATACCTGAGCAGTGTTTTGATGCGTCTGTGTGTGGTGCTGAGGGGCCTCTTGGTATTAAGGGTTTTCAAGGTTTTTGCAAAACATGAAAAAATGGTCCGCTGAGTTTAGGATTTTGAAACAATTTAAGAAGAAGATAACAATGAAGGGAAGGCAAGGTTAAGGTTATGGGTAAACATTCTGGGATTGATTGAAATATATGTGTGGAGAATGGGCTCACAAAGCAATACACGTTTGTGCGCGTTCGTGTGTGCGTTTGTACGAGATTTGTGTCAGCATTGTAATTTGTCTGCACTGAACCGTGCCTATTGTTGTCCTTGTAAACTGAGAGCAATGAGTTTTTCATTTAAGATGCATCTGATAACAGGAGCTCTGCTGTATGAATTCAATTAACTCTGCTTGTCTTTCTCTCACGCTCTCTTTCCCTCCATCTCCTTGTATCATTTCCATCCTCCTCTCCTCTCCTTTTCCAGGTTATGGTGGGGTGGAGTTACTCTTGGTGCTGTGTGGCCTGGATCTCTCTTTGCCCTGCCCTCGCCATTGCATCTGCTACACTTCACCCAGCACTGTCTCCTGCCAGGCCCACAACTTTCATGCCGTGCCCGAGGGCATCCCTGCCCAGAGCGAGCGTGTCTTCCTGCAGAACAACAAGATCCAGCGGCTGCTTCGCGGCCACTTCTCGCCCACCACCACCATGTTGTGGCTTTACTCCAACAACATCTCCTACATACAACCGTCCACCTTCCACGGCTTTGACCGCCTGGAGGAGCTTGACCTTGGGGACAACCGGCATCTAAATGCCATTGCTTCAGATACCTTCCTTGGCCTGGGCAGACTTCATGCCCTGCACCTATACCACTGTGGCCTGATCAGCCTGCCTCAAGGGATATTTGCGGGCCTCCATAATCTTCAGTATCTCTACCTACAGGTACATGGATAACAGCCTTTTATCTCTACTGTATATTGCATCTGTTGCCACAATCGCATTATGGTGTTATCTGTGCATCAGCCTGGCTCAGCAATTACTGCCTATGAATTGGATGCTGATCAAATGCTAGCTGTTATCCTGAGTGCAGGGAAAATACTACAAAGCAGCCCTCACACTAAAGTAACCTACTGTATTGCTTCTGTGGCTGACCACAGGAATTAAAATCCAGGCTTGAGCATATGATTTTGTTAATTACATGGTGAGTGTATGAGGAGAAAAGCTTCTGCTATGAAAAAGCCTCCTATCCATTTTATTGATTAGAAAATCAAAAGATATTGACATTGAGTGAGCGGGGTAAAGGTTAAAGCTTAAATGTCTGACAGCATTGCGTCATATTTAACAGTGGAGTACAACAAACTAGAGTCATGGATATATCACCCACTATCATCAGCATTGGCCCCCTTCCTCTAACCGAGTCCTCGACCATCATTTCTGACCCCTCTTTCACTTCTCACCATCTTTTAAAGCTACTGCCCTTTGGAAACTGTACAGATCACTAAATATCCAACCATCCTGCATCAAAAAATAATACAGGCTCTGAATTCCTGGCATAGTCCAGCTATTTCCTACACATAATGTGTGTTATTAATCTATTCTTTGATGTTAATCTATTCTTTGTGTTGTATAATGTATAATATTGTAAGGTTACCGGTTTCTTGTGTGATGCTGGAACTGAGCTAAAAGCGATACATAGTATACTACTGCTGTAATCAATATTACAATAGCGATAAGAATGTTTTAATGATAATAAATCCTAATACAGTGAATGAATGTAAAATGACCCATAAAATAATCAGTTATGCTCAATGTAATGCACTGCACCCAATTTTAAGCTTCTGTTTTTACCTTTCTACATCCTGACAGGACAACCAGTTAGAGTTCCTGGAGGACGATCTGTTCATCGACCTACTGAACCTCAGTCATCTCTTTCTGCATGGCAATCGACTATGGAGCCTTCGCCAGAACACCTTCCGTGGTCTGGGGGTCTTGGACCGACTGCTTCTCCACCAGAACCGAATCCAGTGGGTTGACCACCAGGCTTTCCACGACTTGCGGCGCCTCACCACCCTTTACCTGTTTAATAACTCCCTGACTGAGCTATCTGGTGGCAGCTTGACTCTACTGCCAGCACTGGAGTACCTACGACTTAACGACAACCCCTGGGAGTGTGACTGCAAGGCCCTGTCACTTTGGGATTGGTTGCGGAGGTTCAGAGGTTCCACCTCCTCACTGATGTGTGTTTCACCACCAGAGCTTGCAGGGAAGGACCTGAAAACGCTGAAGAAAGAAGAGCTGCCCAGTTGCTCGTCAGGCGAGGGTCATGCACATGGTGCCCCGGGTGGGGAGATGGAGCATGGAGAGTCTCTGAACCACCTGAATCGACACAGAAACCATCACAACCACCATCAGCGACCGTACTTGCCCCACGGGGACCAGTACAGCTTGCCTTCACCCTCGCCCCTGCCACGGCCACCTAAAGGAGGCCGCAGAAACTGCACGCGCCGGGGCCGCAAGGCAAAAGGGGGGCTCAATGAGGTGCAGGTTCTACAGGAGGATGGTGAGAAAGACTATACTCCAGATGGAGGTAAATATGACCTGTCTGCAACTGCAAGAAGGAAGAACAAGTGTATCCCCAGAACTTCTGTCGGCCCACCAAGTGGGGTCCAGAGAGCTAATAATAACGCAGGGTCACACCTTGCAGATTATATTTTCTGTTTACCATCAGCTCTGCTGCTGTCACTCATCTCTGTGATCCTACGCTGAGACAGGAAATGGACACTTTTGTACTGGTGGTGCAACCTTATGATTCATTCTCTTGAACCACCCTGCCCTGGCTCTTTAAATAAGGCATGTGTGCATAAGTGTGTGTGTACATGACTGTGTAAAAAGAACATTATCAAATATCTACTGTCGAAGTATCTCTGCGGTATTAAGGCAGGAATCTATATGAGTCATAATCAAAACATGGAAGTCAGGGAAAACAATTTAGCCCATTTCTTTGATGATGTCACCAAGGGAAACAGCAGGAAAACTTAACATCTCTGTGGCATCGACTGCTTCACTGAGTACATGTACTTATAAAAACTGTACAGCCACATAAAATAACAAGCCAATGATTCATTCTAATAATAGCGGGAAGAACGCGCAATAAGGTTCAAAACAGGCTTAGTCTCTATGTTTAGCCCTCTTGACACAATAGTGCTCTCTCAGCGCCCTCCATCTGTCACTCATGCTGAGACAAAGGCACAGTCATTCATAACTGTCACACTGCTCACTCAACAGCACCTTAAGATGCAGAAACAAAATACTGCAGAGAGTGGCAGTAAAATGAGTCATCGTTTGAGCAGTAATAAATACAATCACTATATATCTACTAATAAAGTGGTTATACTTATGTCTCACAGCAAGGTGAACCCACTTTAATGGACATCTGTATCCTTGGCGTTTAGTCTAAACTCTAAAAAACACCACCGGAGTTGTGACACATCTATATAACTGGCAATTCTTCAAACTAGTCCTGTTAAAAGGTTTCCGCTGTCCTTGTTTTTGTAACTCATCAACTTAAAAGCCATTCAGAACTAACGTATCATAAGAGCCAACCGTCACGGTCTGTAAATGAGGAGGTGAGTGAATGAGTTTCTGTGTTATTGTTTGTATGAATGTGTGTCTACTAAAGAAAAAAGCCATGTGGGTAGAACGACACTAGATAGAGTGCCTAATGAGAGCCAGTGGCCAATGAGGACAAACCATATAGGTAAGGGATAGCCTCAATAACTCTTTGCGACCTCACTGGCTCCCAAACAGAGGCCTGAACAGACCAGGAAGGTCAGCTCATGCAGGTCAAGGAAAAGCTGAGGCCCGAGCCTCACTCACAAACCTTCTGACTCCCAGAAAATGTTATGCACTTTCCTCTGAAATGCTGTGGAGAAAAATGGAAAGAAAATATATCCTTCAAGCAGAGATGATTCAATCCAAATACTCACAGGAGGGTTTCAAATACTGGGAAAAAAAGTCTCTACAATCAGGAAGGAGTACTGATGACGACCGCAACACCGCAATACATCTCCTGCAATGGCATAATCAATTGCTGATACTGGAAAAAAAAGCTGTTTCGAGTCTGTGATGACCATCACAGGGCAAAGGGACTGACAAACTGCTACTGTTGTGTTTAGTGCGCTCCAGAACAGATGGACTTGACAATATGTAAGCCCTGATTGGAGAGTTGGATTTTAATGCTGCTACGTCTGAGAAGAGCCCTTTCTGAGGCTCGGGATTCTTCTTCAGGAAATAACAAGGACAGAGAGGACTACAGGACACAGTGCCCTGTATGAAAGGGAGCGGTTCAAGCACACACACCCCTAATAAAGCCCAATCACCTTCACAGCCTTCCTGTCCCATTGCGAACTACTAAGCCCTGTCAGTCCAATCCCAGAGCAGAGCACTGCAGATGTTGTCTAGGTTTGACTGAACTATTTCAGAGTCATTCACCCACACTCTCAAGTGCTCGATTACAGTAGATGAAACCTGTACAGATGCACACGGCTGTCCGGGTACCTTAACTAGCCAGTAATGCTAAAAGTCTCTTTATTTCTTAAAGCATTACAATGTTACAAATTCTATTTTAAAAGAAGCTGCCCTTGTATGCGAAGGAAGATCTAGCTAAAAAGCTAAAATCATGACATGCTGATAAAAAGCACAAAAAATTATTCGTTTTGGTTTGCTGGTAACAATGCGCAGTCCGGATGGGAATCCAAGAGCAGGGGCCACATTTGTACCCTGCTTGTGTGTGTTTCCTGTCCCGCCTTTTCGTGTCTATCTATCTAAATGTTGGGGACGAACAGAAGCCTGTCACTGGTGTCATTCTCCTGACATGTAGGATTAGAGACCCCTACTGGTGAACTTGTTTGTGCTGCTGTGAACCCAGAGGTGATGTAAATTGTGTCTGTTTATTCCTGTGAGGATGACTTTTTGTAAAAAAAATAAAAATAAAATAAAAAATAAAAAGAAAGAAAGAAAAGAAAAGGAAAAAAAAGAGAAACTCTGTTGTGTCTCGGTAGCTCCCTTAAAAAAATAAACAGGGAGCTGGGGGCTGGAACTTTATTTTTTATTTAAAATGATTATTATCATTATTTCATTTTTTTTATTCTGTCTTTTTTTTGTTTTTCTGACTCATTCAAGGTAAACAGTACATTGCACTGTCCCCCTTCGGCTCCTCCTATTTCTTCTATGCACCTATTCATCCCTCTGTCTTTCCCTCCCTCCCTCCCTCCTTCACCTCACCTCCCTCCTTCACCTCACCTCCCTCCCTCCCTCCCTGTCTGTCTGCTTATTCTCTCCTCCCTCTTCACCTTCTCGCTGCTTTCTCGTCCACCCTCGCCTGCTCCCCCTCCTTCCCCTCTATCTCTATTCTTCCTCTTTCCTCTCTCTTCATTTGGCTGCCAACCCAAATGTTTTGTATGGTGTATCACAAAGCAATGCCAGACCAAAAGTGTTTATAAATAAACATTTTAACAGAAAGTGCCTCAAATGGCTGAGTGGTCTCTGTTTGGTTTACCTCCCCTTTGCTTAAGTGCCATATGCACATCTGTCTGTGCGTGTATGGCTTGTGAGTGTGGCTAATAGACAGACCTCCAAAAGAGCCCTGAGGCTGAATGATAAGGCAAGAAAAAAAAAGAAAATGTAAAAAAAAAAAAGTAATGGAATAAAGTACACAATTCATCTACTGCAGGGAGAGAAACAACCCAGATTTAACCAGGATATATTGTTGCCTCCTTCATGTCTTAGTTCACTCATTACACTCAGCAGGCCCTCATATAATATGCATCAGAATGACTGTAGCACACGCCACGCACACACAAACTCACAAATACACCTGTCGGAGTGCTGTTAGCTGTGAGGGGCAAGGGAGCGTGTCTTGGTGTCAGGTCAATGGCTGAGCGTCAAAGTGAGCCGCTAGCGTGTGTCCATCTACTTTCGCATTGTTTGCACAGTTTCACATCATGCATGCGTGTTTTGCACTCTGCACGAAAGTGTTTCTAAGTCTCGTGTGTTTGTGTGCTATATGTGCGTGTTCCACCGGTGTACAAAATGCCACTTCACGGCAGATCCAGCCTGACATCCGGCTAGGGCAGGGGAAGAGCTGTGCCTCAGAGAGACAGTATCCACTGCTCTGTTTGTAAAACAAAGCTGACAATGAGAGAGAGGGGGGGAGTGAGAGAGAGAGAGAGAAAGAGAGAAAGAAAGAGGAAGGAAAACCACAAGGATTTAAAGGCAGAGGGGTGGAGATATCTTCGAAAGAAATCCATGAAGTAGTTATCAGTACCAAACAGACCCGCAGCCAGGGGAGAGGAAGTGGGCATAATATGGGTGGCTGTAGTATCAGCACCAAGTTGTGTTCGATCAATCACTGCATGTGTCTCAAGCGAAATGACAGACCCACTACATGTGTTCATCCATGTAGAGACACTACATGAGATGAAGAGCATTTAAATTAGGGCACAGAGCTTTGGTCTCAATGAGTTCAAGTATCTTTATTGTTGTTTAAGATCATCTCCCTGAACCACGTAGTGCAAAATATATATTAAATATATATATTAAACATATACATATAGACAAAAGAGAACAATAGTTGCTAAGATAGATGTATAAGATAGACATAGATGTTAAAAAGATATTTAGTTAATACTTATTTACACAATAAAATGGAATTCTAAATCACACAGTTATCAATAACAGCTAGTAGCTAGCAGAGGTATAAGGAAGAATATCAAATATCTCACACAAGTAAAGGCACATTAATTATGAAGAGACTTAAAATAAAGGTGTGTGTATATATATCAATATAAAGGAAAAATTAATAAAAATAAAAGAAAGCAACATTAAAGATACAACAATAAAGATAATGATGAAACATGGGAGGAGCTCAGTAAGGAAGAAGACAGATGAAGGCATGAAAGAAAGGGAGAAAGGTGGCAGAAAGTACCAAATTGAGAAAAAAGTTAGGAAGAAAAATAGTAGTAAAGGCTTGAGGAAGTTGAGGACTAAGAATATAAGATAATAATAAGATTGGGGAAAGAAATGATAAGGAAAACAAAGGAAGGGAACAACTAATAACAGAAGGGAAGAGGGATAAAAGGAATAGAGCTGAGAGAAAAGAAAGGAGATGAGGACTTAAGTTGAGAAGAGACAACGATAGGAGGCAAGAAATCAAGATGCTCTTGAGAACAATCAGGGAAATGTGAAACGTTAAGGAAGGAAGGAATTAAGGGAAAAAACAAGGTAGTGGGGGAAAAGAAATGCACACGAGAGAACGAGAGAAATCATCCATAGAGACGCATGTATACAGGCTTCATGATCAAACAGAAGAACAGCTCATCCACTAGTTCAGTCCCTAAGCTGAGGATCTGAAATAGCCGCATGTGAATATTTATATATGCCTATGTTCCCTTCCAAAGGCAGAGAGGCCAAGCAAAATTGATTTCTCTGTGTGAATCCCTGAAGAGTTGAGACTCAGCAAAAGAAAAGCTGAAAAGAGCAAGGGAGAGTGAAAAAAAAGGAATAAAGCACTGCTAGAAAGAACAGTAGTAGGTTTTGTGAAACAAGCGGAAAACTAAGAAATGGGAGACACCTTCAGTGAGATGCAAATGTATGATGTTTTCAGCAAACAGATGCATACACCATTTGTCTTGCATTTACTCTTTCTCAAGGCAAATGCAGGCAGAATTTCCTCCACTACGTGATTTGATTTTCTTTCCCATCGCCATCCAAGCGCACGGCATCTATCACGCATCAGCTCACATGCCTTACAGTACCTTCCGGTAGGCACCATTTCACACCAGCCGTCTTTTCGCTGCTATAACTCCATCAAGCTACATTACACTCATTATAGGCACATATCTGATTCCTATTAGGAAGAAGGTCAAAGTGTGGAACCGCAATGGAGCCAAAAAGGACGTGCAGCCATGGAATCACAAGTGTGTACCCTGCTAGATGTGATTTGATCTGTCTGTTTCAAGTCAAAACTTTCATCACATTTACTGGCACTTTTACATTTATTGATGGCTCCTTTTTCTCCATCTTAGTCTCAACCTGCCTAACTGAAGTGGTTCCTTTATTCAATATGTCTACATATTATTGTCACTTGACAAGTCCAAATATCACACTTTCAAAAGGGTAACAAAAGTTCATGTGCATGTGAACAAAAAGTGGAACAGTCAGACACAGCTGGAGACATTTTCAACCTTTTGGCAGCAGAGTCTTGCACAAGGAAATATGGAGTTGATATTTTGAATATGCAGCTGATGTCTTCATCATCTGTTGTGCATGCATGGTGAATCAA